GATACACAACGTATTGAAAGTTCTCTAAACGAAGTTAAAGAATCCACAATTTTTTTATGGGAGGAATTATTTTAAATTGAGATTTTATTTAGGATTCCGAGAATCTTTTCGTTGATGGAGGATTTTCGTTTTAGAGTTTTAATATAGAGTTTTTCAGTGTAATTTACTTTGTCTCTATCCATTACTCAAAAATAGTCCATCTTTTATACCACATTTTTCTACACAAAGAGGACAATTAGCGATATATTACATAACAAGGAATAATTTAACTAATACAATGGAACAACATATTCAATTAAAATATAACTAAACATATATTAAGTCACTTGATATTTTTAGCTTGATCTTAAATATTCATACATACACTGACCACACAAAAAAAAATTGCCTCACATATAAACACTTGACTCCTGGTCTTCTCCTATAGAAGCTGACAGGGCAGCAGCCAGGATCCCGAGTACAAGGGGCCATCCAGGCTTCAGACTCCGCCACGATGAGTAGACGTTCTATCCTCCAGCTCTGCATGCAGTCTGAACCCCCTCAAAGCAGGCGAGCTGGAGTTGGATCCTGATATCCAACAGCCCTACGCCACTGACAGATACTGGACGTGACAGTAGACCCTCCGGGATCCAGGTAGCGCGATGGCAGGACCTCCAAATGAACCGCGTCAGCCTGGCTTGCAATTTGACAATATTGGCGTTTCCAGGCAGTATAGCCGTAGAGATAGTGGAGCACCGACGCCAGCACCAGTGAATTGGCCGTTCTTGCTCGTCCGACCAGGGAGAGGCCACAGACTTATGGGAATCATTTGGAGATGCCCTAGCAGATGATTTTCCTGAACCGAGGTTCCATAGGCTGATGAAATTTCGCAGCCCAGCGCCGTGATGGAAGATACGACCACGAGATGCCCAGCGGAGAGTCGGCGCGGTCTCTCCAGGCGACGCACCACAGTCTCTTACTTTTAGAAAAGTTCAAGCATACTCCTGACGCACGCCGGAATTTGTCAAAGATGGCTTTGAATTTCTCGAACTGCCAATCCTCGCGGATCAGCAGGAGAATATCATCGGCGTATGCCAGGACGTTCCCTCATCCGAGAACACTTTCCCTTGTGGCAAGCGGCGGATGGGAGCTTCCACCTCACTCAAAGAGATATCGGCTTGATGAAGCGCTTCACTGTCTTCCAATGCGATGTTCTCAGTAGCTCCCTCCAGGAATCCAGCGATGGCCTTCGGGCTGCAGATAGAGCCGCCGAAGCGATGTCTGAAAGAGTTGAAGACGGTGCACTTCAAGTTCTCTCCCTCGATGAGATTTCCTTGGGCGTCGGAAACGTTCGTCGGGCCCCGGGTGATGTAGTTGGACATGCAAGGCACCCCCAAGCTCAGGCAGTGAAGGCTAGGCGGCCTCTAAGGAGGAGCACAAGAACCGGCTTGCTCCAACGACATATTCTTTATCTCCAACGCTGAGAATGAAGAGACACTTGATGTCTTCAACCAGGTCTCGAATCAGTTTTACAAACTATTTTTATAGATCTATAAGAGGTATATCGCCGATCTTCTGGGATGTGTCCCCAAGAACCACTTCAATTATTTTTATTACTGGCGTCGAGGGAAGAAGCGTGGAGACTGAAGACGCAGTTGGTGAAGGGAGCTCCCCCACTTGGAGAAGAACGGCACGTTGGTCCGAGCAGTGATACTTGAGGCGAATGCCATAAATGAAAACTCTTGTAGGCAGGTACGCGGCATCGAAGATGATCGAGGTGTCGACAAAGGCGGTTCGTTGTTGGAGCTTCTCAAAGGTTTCCACGGCCCCAGGCCCGATGTCGCTCGAAGACTCCTCGGAGACGAGGAAGTCGCCGAGGACCCACGCAGCTTTCCTGATGGCTTCCTCAGTGATGACCTGCAGTTGGATATGCCGTTCTTCAAGAATGTGGTACGGGAGTTAGTTGATGACGCGGGCCACGAGACCCGATGGTGATCTTGCCTGGCCAAGGACGGTGGCTCCCGACACTACGATGACGACGAGGCCCGGATCCTCTGGAAGCCGAAGATGGCGTGAAAACGGCGTTGTAGCCGAGGCAGAGTTCCGAACGTTGTTTAGGGCCAGCACATTCGTCCAGGATACGAACGTCCTGGACGAACGCAACATCAAGAAGCAACACATCTCCATGCCCCTAGCGCCAACGGCAATGCCGCGCACATTGAGGTACGCCACCATGCCGAATCTCATGATGTCCTTCTAACTGCTGAAGCCCTAGTGAGATGCTTATAGAGGTGGCAGGTTTTATCCTCTACACGATATATAATTTTCCCGAGGAGGATGATCAGGCTGGCCAGCTGCTCGGGAATCAGGGTAGGGATGAATTTCTTCACAGCGCCTTGGTTGGTGATTGCCAGCACAATATTTTTTCTCCATGCCTTTAGGTCTTTGAACAAGATGTCAGGGAGTTTCTCAAGGACCACTTTCAGCTGCGCGATGGCTCTGGACTTTGTCCTAGATGATTTGTTTTCCTGATTGTCCAGAGAAGTGTTTTTCTTTTGCAAATGGGATCTAGGGTGAAGGAGTAAGATAGAAGCCGCTATGCTGGGCAGGCTCTCTTTGCTTGGTGTTGCCTCTTTTTCCACTGATAAAGATCCGGCGCTTTTTGTTGCGTTAGCGGAAGGGGACTTAGAAGGAACAGGAGTTTCTACAGCAGGTGTCTCCTCGCATGGCTAACTGCAGCAGGTATATTTGGGGCAGGTTTCAACGAGGGCTGTGTCTAGGTGTAAGGCGGGAGTGAACCTGGGCCATTCTGGGAGATAGGTATTCAAGTGGAGCGCTCCTCCGTGTTCCTCCTGGGGCAGTAAGCACGCCGATATCCTTCGCGAAGGAACTTGCTGCATTTTACGCCGTAGGCGATGTATGCTTTTGTTGTTTAAACCCTGGACTAGATGTCCATTTTAACAGAGAGCTGATGGGTATTTAGGCTTTCATCCATGAAGATGAACGCCTTCCTGCCCGTGGTTCACGAGTAACCTTCGCAGGTCACCACTTATTAAGAAGACATAAAGGCAACTTTGCAATAAGGACATAGCGCCGCAATGTCTTCGTCTTTGACGGCGATGGGAATATTCCGATAATTATCTTCTCAGCCCTTTTCCTGTATTGGAAGGCTCTCAGGAGTGTACAGCCGATGGCGAGGCCTTCCTCGATCAGGCGTTCTGTTTTAAAAGTTCAGCATAGTTCCACCAGAACATGGCTGGACATCTTCATAAACTGATAGACTGAAGACTTTCCCAGCATCTTCTCCAGCGCCTTTATATATTGAACTAAATGGAAGTCCGCGCTCCACTGGACGAATTATCACTGGTGAATGTTGCAACTGCCGACAAAGCCTTGAATAGCTCCTGCTACTGTCTGCCTCTTTTGATCTAGGTAACAGCATATCTTTGTTGCTGATGTGACTTGGCTACGATTGTTTCAGCCTTCACAATTTTTGCAGGCTAGACTCTAGCCTGCAAGATATCCAAAGAAAAATACCAAATTTCTTCGATAAATGTTTGATGGGCCAATTCTGCAGTTTATATTAACTTATATGTAAATAATAAAAGGATTTTAAGTTAACATACTCCTGAAGGGCGTATAAAAGATCGAAAGCTAGAGATAATAAAATTATTTTCATTAAACTCATCTCTGAATGATTATTTTGTCAAATATTATATATATATACTTCCTTAATACATTAGTGTGCGTCCACAAAGCTGCTATTATTTCATACAATTTTTGAAAACAATTCATGCGTATGCATGAGCATATTTTCTTATTACATAAAACGCAAAATTTCTCTACGATATATCGACAAGCAGCATGGTGATCTTTATCAGTATAAATAATACATTAATTAAATAATGCAATAGGTTTCTGGAGATGAGTTTCTTTTCATTTTATTATCACAATCTCGAGCTTCCGGGCATTTCTGCTCTTCTACAGGAGTACATAAAAACTAATAAGCGCCTTTAAGATACTAACTAACTATATATACATTTATATATAAGGATAAATTTGCATATTGTTTGGTGTTGGAATACAAATTTTTATTCAGTTAGTTTATATTTACATATTGAATATTTATAAAATGAAAGGATTTAAAAGCACGAATTTTTCTTTTATACATAATAAACACTTCTACTGCCCTTACTGCGATGAAAATATATATTGGGAGGGCTTGGCTCATCAGTGGTGAACCCTCCCAGCGGTTTCGCCTATTTAATCCACCAGACCGCTTCTCAGAGCTCTAATACTGTATTGGACGATTCTGCTTATATACGCAGCACTGAAGGATGGAATTTCAGAAATGGTTTTCAAGAAAACTATGGACATAAGCTTATAGGACAGTAGAATTACATTCAATTGAATATTGTTTGTTTAATTTTAGTAATTATCATATTGACTAAAATTTGTCTTTATTATTTTGAATATATGTGTTTCTTATATATAATGTTATATATATGAGAAAACAATAGAAAAAAAAATAAAAAGGTCAGGTTTTGATATTAAAAATAATGAAGACATATCCTGACCAAAAGCACATGTGCTTTATAGATGGCAGAGCACTATCTAGCACATGTACTTCTGGTCAGGATATGCCTTCATTATTTTTAACACATATATATGTCATATATATAATCTATTGGAATTATTAAATTTTTATCAGGATATATCATACTGTAAATTTCCGGGGGGCAAGTCTATTTTTCTATCAATGCTATTGTATTGTCTTGATAATAATGCTTCAATGATCAATCTTTGGTATTTATTGGTATACTAGACGAATGGCCCGGGCAATGCCCGGGTTTTACCCGAGTGCGAATATATTTTAAAAACGTTTTAATTCAAATACTATTCGTTACATTTATAAATTGGCGTCATGGATGTCACTCTTGTGAAACGTCCCGTTCCAAACTGTGTGTTTTTAAAATGTTTTAACTATATATAATATAACGGCATAATAACGGTATAAAGAAATAATGAGCCTATAGCCTAGTGGTCATGGCATCTGCCCGGTAAGCGGAAGGTCGTGGGTTCGATTCCCATCCTTGTATACATCTTGCTTCCTACGGTTGCCTAGAGTGGCCGCTATAGACAGGGTGGTCTGTATAGACAGGTGGATGTATCACACAGCTGATAACAGGGTTGCCTAGAGTGGCCGCTATAGACAGGGTGGTCTGTATAGACAGGTGGATGTAGCACACTGATGATAACAGGGTTGCCTAAAGTGACCGCTATAGACAGGTGTATGTATCACACAGCTGATAACAGGGTTATCTAGAATGGCCGCTATATACAGGGTGGTCTGTATAGACAGGTGAATGTAACACACTGCTGATAACAGGGTTGTCTAGAGTGGTCGCTATAGACAGGGTGGTCTGTATAGATAGGTGTATGTATCACACTGCTGATAACAGGGTTGCCTAGAGTGGCCGCTATAGACAGGGTGGTCTGTATAGACAGGTGGATGTACCACACAGCTGATAACAGGGTTGTCTAGAGTGGTCGCTATAGACAGGGTTTTCTGTATAGACAGGTGTTTGTATCACACTGCTGATAACAGGGTTGCCTAAAGTGACCGCTATAGACAGGGTGGTCTGTATAGACAGGTGGATGTAACACACTGCTGATAACAGGGTTGCCTAGAGTGGCCGCTATAGACAGGGTGGTCTGTATAGACAGGTGGATGTATCACACAGCTGATAACAGGGTTGTCTAGAGTGGTCGCTATAGACAGGGTTTTCTGTATAGACAGGTGTATGTATCACACTGCTGATAACAGGGTTGCCTAAAGTGACCGCTATAGACAGGGTGGTCTGTATAGACAGGTGGATGTAGCACACTGATGATAACAGGGTTGCCTAAAGTGACCGCTATAGACAGGGTGGTCTGTATAGACAGGTGGATGTATCACACAGCTGATAACAGGGTTGTCTAGAGTGGCCGCTATAGACAGGTGTATGTATCACACAGCTGATAACAGGGTTATCTAGAATGGCCGCTATATACAGGGTGGTCTGTATAGACAGGTGAATGTAACACACTGCTGATAACAGGGTTGTCTAGAGTGGTCGCTATAGACAGGGTGGTCTGTATAGACAGGTGTATGTATCACACTGCTGATAACAGGGTTGCCTAAAGTGACCGCTATAGACAGGGTGGTCTGTATAGATAGGTGAATGTAACACACTGATGATAACAGGGTTGCCTAAAGTGACCGCTATAGACAGGTGGATGTAGCACACTGCTGATAACAGGGGTGTCTAGAGTGGCCGCTATAGACAGGTGTATGTATCACACAGCTGATAACAGGGTTGTCTAGAGGGGGGCAGGGAGGCCACGTGTTCGCCGGCAGCCAATGGGCGCGCATTCTATCCGTGAACTTCAGACAGTGAGCTTCAGACAGTGAACTTCAGACAGACAGAATAAGGCAATTATATAAGTAGATTGTTGTATTGTAAAGATGTTGAAATGCAGTGTTGCAGTCTCTGGAGTGTTGAAATATTAATGATATATTGTCTTGATTTATTACGTTGATGTTCATATATTCTATTACCGACTCTCCTTCCTGTCTCCCTCACATATTTAACTTGATAGTTATTGCATCCTGTGGAATATACTTCTTCCTTACTATTAACGGCTTCAATGATATTATATTTATTTTTAGTTAAGGGATTTTTAACTATGGAACCTTTATTAGGGGAATTCTTATAATATGTTTTAATTCCAATTTTTTAAATGTATCTGGCTATGGCTATGGATGCATGTGAGTATGGAATGTAACATATTGCATTATATATTTCTGAGCCTTTGTTGATTGGGTTATGCTATGGGTTTGTGGTTATGTTTTAAAATAAATATGATTGGGTAACCGATTTCCTGGAGATTTTTTATAATGTTCTGGCCTTCTTCTATTTTTTGAGTTCTGTTAGAGGGCTACCCATTGTTGATCCTTTAATCCTGTTTATATTATTGTGGATTAAAAAGTTGAATATATTGCCACGTGGAAAATTAGGGAAGACAAAAACTTCAGGAGGAGACAACAATTTATTTCAGGGAAGGACAAACTATGAATTGTAAACAAAAGATAAGCACGAGGGAAATTTACAGAGTCGCCAGATATAAACATAAAAATGACCACTCTGTTAATAAAAAATAATAATAAAAATTAATAAATATTATGTTACATAAATAAAATTAATAAATACTATGTTACAATATTAATTTTTAAACACAAGTCTATTAACTCTATTTTTTTCCGAATGATTATTTGTATCTATGCTATTTTATCTATTAATGATGTTTTAGTATTTTCTAATATTAATTGGTGAGGGAGGCTAAGATATAGAGCCTCAACTTCGAAAGAAATGTATATATGTGTATTTAAAGTTCCTTTTATAAATATGGGTATATTTAATATTGATAGGAAGGATGTTTGTGGTCTAGCTAATGACTGTAAGAATTTAGTTAAAACTTAGCTATTGGGGCAATAGGAGATAGTTGATATGCTACTATAGGTCTTAATGGAATATTTGGTTTGTGTAATTTTGGTTTACCATATATATGACTTTCATAATTTATATTACAGAGGAATGCCTTGTGTTCTTCATTGCTGATTATTCTGGACTTGTTCATTCTGTTGAGTTATTTTTTCAAGATTTATATATTTGATTCCTTTCTATTTCTGTAAGTAATGCGAAGGTTGAACTGTCTTTGAATATTTCCTCCATTTTGTTCTGGTATTCAGATATATCCATTATCACTGTAGTTTCTCCCTTGTCCGCTTGCGTAATAACTATTTATTTTCTGTTCCTTCAATTTCTTAAAATTTGCCTTTCTCGTGATTTGCGTAGAGATAGATTTGTTGGTTCACTGAATGTTCTGGTTACTTTTTGTCTTATTTTTCCTTTTTCCAGATTGTTTAGTCTTGAGATGGCTACTTCTATTCCGCTGGTTATTTTTATAGGATCAGGTTTATCTATGGGACGATACTTCAAACCTTTGGATGGTATGGCTATTTCATCGTGTATAAATTTGGCTTTAAATAAATTAACCAATTTTGATATGTTTTCATTTCTGATCAGATTTGGTACTTTGTATTTGTTAGCCCAATGTGTTTTATTTCAATAAAATGAAAAGAAACTCCAGAAACTTGCTGTATTATTTAATTTATATTCAGGATATTTAAATTAATTGATATAATTATCCTATAGCAACGAGAATTATATATACACACTTACACATATAGACAAAAGAAAACTTAAGGAAGTTGTACCATTTAGCATGTATATTGGGATTCAGGCTATAACCCTAAAAGATATTTGATACACGGTGACCTTTATTGAAGACACACGTGATAACCAAGTGTGAACAATATTGCCTTTGTCTCCTTTAAAAAAAACAGACGACAGGTGATATTGAAGACTTTCCACTTCCTATAGTAAATATGTACAGTATGCAAATTGATTTGCATAATGATCGTCTATACCAGGTGTCGGCAAACGCGAGCCACATGCGGCTCTTTGGATGTGAAGCTGCGGCTCTTTATATAGTTCCATACGCAAATATTATTTATGCGAATACTATTTATTTTTGGCAAGAAAAAAATCTGTGGGCTACTTATGTAATCTATGGTCGTCTTGTAACACCCAAACTGTCATTATCAAAACGTCACATGGGCTACTTCTGTAATCTTTGGTCGTCTTGTAACACACCCAAGCTGTCATTATCAAAGCCTCACAAGGGCTACATCTGTAATCTTTGGTTTTATTGTAACACCCCAACTGTCATTATCAGAACGTCACAAGGGCTACTTCTGTAATCTTTGGTTATATTGTAACACCCCAACTGTCATTATCAGAACGTCACATGGGCTACTTCTGTAATCTCTGGTCGTCTTCTAACAGACTTAACTGTCATTATCAGAACGTCACAAAGGTTACTTCTGTAATATTTGGTCGTCTTGTAACAGACTTAACTGTCATTATCAAAACCTCACAAGAGTTACTTCTGTAATCTCTGGTCGTCTTGTAACACCCAAACTGTCATTATCAAAGCCTCACAAGGGTTACTTCTGTAGTCTTTGGTTTTATTGTAACACCTAAACTGTCATTATCAAAACATCACAAGGGTTACTTCTGTAAACTTTGGTCGTCTTGTAACACCTCAACTGTCATTATCAAAGCCTCACAAGGGTTACTTCTGTAATCTCTAGTCGTCTTGTAACAGACTTTACTGTCATTATCAAAACATCACAAGGGTTACTTCTGTAATCTTTGGTTTTATTGTAACACCTCAACTGCCATTATCAAAGCCTCACAAGGGTTACTTCTGTAATCTTTGATTTTATTGTAACACCCAAACTGTCATTATCAAAATCTCACAAGGGCTACTTCTGTAATCTTTGGTCGTCTTGTAACACCCAAACTGTCATTATCAAAACATCACAAGGGCTACTTCTGTGATCTTTGGTAGTCTTGTAACACCCAAACTGTCATTATCAAAATCTCACAAGTGTTACTTCTGTAATCTCTGGTCATCTTGTAACACCCAAACTGTCATTATAAAAATCTCACAAGGGCTACTTCTGTAATCTTTGGTCGTCTTGTAACACCCCCAACTGTCATTATCAAAATCTCACAAGGGCTACTTCTGTAATCTTTGGTCGTCTTGTAACACTCCCAACTGTCATTATCAAAATCTCACAAGGGTTACTTCTGTAATCTCTGGTCGTCTTGTAACACCCAAACTGTCATTATCAAAATCTCACAAGGGTTACTTCTGTAATCTTTGGTCGTCTTGTAACACTCCCAACTGTCATTATCAAAATCTCACAAGGGTTACTTCTGTAATCTCTGGTCGTCTTGTAACACCCAAACTGTCATTATCAAAACATCACAAGGGTTACTTCTGTAATCTTTGGTCGTCTTGTAACACTCCCAACTGTCATTATCAAAATCTCACAAGGGTTACTTCTGTAATCTCTGGTCGTCTTGTAACACCCAAACTGTCATTATCAAAACATCACAAGGGTTACTTCTGTAATCTTTGGTCGT